GTATTAAAATTTTCCTTTCTAGCTATTGCGAGGAAATTGTTTTGGTGATCTGTGAAGATGATACGAAATAACATAAATAGCCAAGCTACCAACCATACTCGGTAAATGTCGCTTACACTACATTATCAAATACAGAAAACCCATTACACCGCATGAACATATATGGTAAAGTAGAACGGTCAAATTTAAGTAAGGTTTTAATTAAAGAAAAAACATTACACCGCATGAACATATATGGTAAAGTACAGTCTAAATTAAGTAAAGTTACGTAGTTATTTAAATGCTAAATAAATAAATATGCATTAAAGATTCATTTTAACTAACACAATGTTCCATAATGGATAAATCGAAACGTTATCGCTATGAATATAATTTGAAAGAAGACAATTAGTCGGTTGAATTTCATTTAATATTGTCATATCATGTCGATTAGGATTCTCAAATGATTGTACACAGGCCTACCAAATTGTTAATTGTTGGTGCAATTAATTGCAATTTTTTGAACTCAATTGATTGGTGGAGAGGCCACAATGAGTCAATTAATTGCAATTTTGGGTGTTATGAGTCAATTATTTGCAATTTTGGGTGCTATGAATCATTTGATTGACAAATAAGGATCCCTAATACAATTCATTAGTAAATTCTTATTTGTCACATAACATGATTCATCATACCAAAGTGGCAAATAGCAATTATTACATCATTAATTGGTTCGATTAAATTTTACAAATTTTTATACATATACAGTCAGATCTTCCTAAATGCAATGCATATACAAAAATTTAGTCAACCGTGTACTTAGAGAGGTTTTGCATTTAGGGAGGTAAAAATCTATAGATAGAATATTTCTTGGGCCCAAGATAAGACGTGTATTTAGAGAGGTGTTTCATAAATACAATTTAATTGCAATTAATTTTTCTGTACCCCTGGTTGTACATATGTACATACGTACGTACGTACGTACGTATGTACATCATGAAAATTTGAACTTATATCCCATAGCACAGTACCCAAAGAATATAAAAGGTCACAATTTTTTAATTTTAAATCTTTCTTTCCTTGTCTTTTCTTTACTACTCTTACCATGATAATGATGTTGATTCCCTACTTGATTGCATTACTGTTTATTCAATCGATTGTGGCCGAGGTCACTATCACACCTGTACCTTCTACGGGCTTGCCTCCTAATCGAAATATTGTCGAAAATCAACTGCCTCTTGCTAAACAAACACACGAACTGGTCAAAGTGGGAGATATCGTCCTTCTTTCGCAAATGGATACCAGTGTCTTGGTGAAAGTTCGAGTAGATAAATATGGCGTCGCTCAACAGGTAGCAGGC